GAAGATATGGTGTTTATGGATGCAATTCTATTGAGGCTCGTATGTGAATCAAATTCTCTTTATATTTTATTTTTAACAATATACTAAAGTTAACATGCAATGTTTGTTTAAATAAAAGATTATATAAATCTTGATAGACTTTTGGTTTTCGTATTCAATCTAAGTTTATTAATTATACCTTTATTATTTTTGTGATATGCACATATGTAGTTAATATATTTGCAGGACAGCTAAATTGTTGGTCAAAGAAGTAAACTTCGATATGGATCAATTATTATTATTATTATTATTATTATTATTATTATTATTATTATTATTATATTTTTTGTAGTAGTCAAAGATGTTAGAATTGTTTAGATGAACTTTATATTTTGACATATTGTATTGAACCATACTCATTTTGTATTTATTTAAAATATAAAAAACCTGATTATATGGATTAATGTTTATTATTTTATTTTTTGATTATTAAAGCTTTGCTGGTAATCAAATAAACGAACAATATTTTTAAAACCGTTCAATGGATATTTATGGTGTTTCCTAATGCATGTCGTAAAAAGCCGACATACTTCTTACGATGTGCGATTAAAAAGTCATAAATTCAACATTTGTTACGGCATCCATGTTTATGCCGCAGCAAGATGTCACTTTTTACGCATGCTTAAAAGGAAAGTGGTAAAAATTTAATTGTAAATAACAGCATCCCTTATTGCATGCCGTAAAAATTATTTAGTTACAACGTGCAACATAGCATGCCATAAAAAATGAATGGTGTTCTATTTATAGTGGGTTTTGTACGTTGTAAAAAGTGAATAAAATTTTTTTAAGGTATTTTTTTATACAGCGTTTAGCTGTACGTCGTAAACAATTTTATTACGAAATTACGTTTGAATGTTGATTAAGAAAATGGAATAGAGTTTCTGAGAATGTCTTCTTAATTTATTACGAAAGAATGAGTTGTCTAGTATTAACAACTTAATAATGTAGAAACCCTTAAATAACTCAATATTTCGATCTAAAATAATTTATTTATGATATTCATTTTCATTTAATTATTTTTACCTTCCGTTCGATCCTGGTTCGACACTCTTGAGTCTTTATCTTTTTCGGATCGATATTTGGGTCGAATTTTACAACAGTGGTCTCAATTCACGATCTGTCTGTCTGCCTGTCTCTCCCAAACTCAAACTCAAACTCAAACTCAAACTCAAACAGTGGTTCTTGAACGTGAAGCTTGGAAGATGCAAGCTCCAAATTTTTCAAACCGGCTATCACCAGTGGACCGCTGGCTGTCACTGGTGACTGGCATTTCGAGTAGAAGAAGCTCAAGCTCGTTCGTTTCATTAGGGTTTCGTAAATTCCAGTGCTGCTCCGTTCAGTCTCCATCTTTAGGTTTCTCTCTCTGCATTTCAGTGTGTGACCATAGGTGTATGTGTGTATGGGCGTGTCTGTATATTCGCATACATTTAAATGTTTTTGCAATTTTCCTGTTGCATTGACATGCATTTCTATATTCTAAAGTCAATTTGCAGAATTAACTTTTCCTTGAGTCGGTTAGACTATGAAGAGCAGGAAAATTAAAATTAATTATAGTTCCAAGTCGAAATTTTCTGATTTTTATTTTCCAGATTAATTGAGAGTTAAAAAGAGTTTCAATGATGAAATTATTTTAGCGTGTGTTTTCTTCCCTCTTTTTTTTTTAACCATGCATTCTTCAAAATATAACTATTCCAAAATACAATTTTTTCCCCCCAAAAACACATTTAATGGAGCAGAGATCAAACGGGGGTTAATGTTGTTAAAAAATAATTGTATTTTAAAATTTATTTTTCTTTTTCTATTAATTATTAGATGGGTAAACAAGAGTTTGATGATGATCAAATTTCAGCATTAGCATTTGTTTTTATTTTTTTCATGCTGGACATTTTCATATGTTGTTAGATGGTAGCGAGCGTTTGGATTATGATGTTGTCCCTCTTCTTTGTTTCTAAATATTAGTTTTGGATGAGACGAGATTCATTAAAGCATCAAAAAATGGGAACTTAATTCCTTTGTGCGAAATCATTTTCTCGGATCAGTTGACACCCGTGCTTGCTTATCGGTGTCTGGTTAAGGAAGAAGATAGAGAGGCTCCGAGCTTCCTCTTTGAATCTGTCAAGCCTGGTTACCGCACTTCCACTGTTGTAAGAAAATGAATTCTTGCTCAAAATTCTTAGTTCGTTTGGAAATTAATGGATTGGCGCATTCATGTGTGTTTGGGATTCCTTTAAATTCTTATGTCATGGTTTGTTTAGGGCCGATATAGCATGGTAGGAGCACAACCGACAATGGAAATAGTGGCAAAAGAGAACAAGGTCACAGTGTTGGACCATGAAGAAGGGACAAAAATTGAGAAGTTCGTAGAGGACCCAATGATGGTTCCAAGAAATATTTCAGAGGATTGGAGACCACAATTGATTGAAGAACTTCCTGATTCATTTTGTGGTAAGACTTAGATGTAATAATACGTTATCTCGTTTATTGAATGTCTGTTATCTTGTTTATTGAATGTCTGAAATGTTTAATGTTAAATGAGATTTTACTTGTCTTAACTGATTTTCTTGGTAGGTCAATGACTTCCATATGGAAAACGCATGAACTTCACAACACTAATTCAGTACTTCTATGCTATACATGTAACATTAATTTCATACTTTATATTGTACTTCAACTCTTCAAAATGCACAATCTAAAACAGGCACTTGATGCAGCTTTAGTCTTAAATTTCGAAGGAATCCAGGACAAGGATAGCCAATTAGGCCATTTTACGGTTTATTAATGAAAATAGGTTAAAAGATAATATTCGTTGTGTCTACATGTACTAGATCTAGAGGTTCTATGAATTACATCTGATACTTGAGGTATTCAACATGAATGCTTGAAGTTCTTACAGAACATTAGGAACGGGATTATTGCAATATTCATCGTAGTTGAGTTTGCATGTATATCTTTGCACAAAGATACATGTAGAATAAGACCAAAGATATCCTTCTAATTTCCTTGTGCTCTTGAGCAGGTGGATGGGTTGGTTATTTCTCATATGATACGGTTCGTTATCTAGAGAAGAAAAAGCTTTCATTCACGAATGCACCAAGAGATGATAGAAACCTTGCTGACATTCATCTTGGACTCTATGACGATGTTATCGTGTTTGATCATGTAGAGAAGGTAAGGGACTATAAATCTGAATGTATGGATCTTATCTCACTTTTTTTTTTCCTTTATTTATTTATTTATTTATTTTTCAGACAAAAATAGAACTTCTAACCCCTGCAGAAGCAAAATCAATTATGACAAAGGGGTTGTCGAATTCGAAATGTTTGATATAGACTTAATTACGCATACTCTATATATAGTAATTTTATACATGATACTCACAATTTCTTCCTAGAACTTATTAAAAACAAGTCTCATGAACTCCATTTCGATTTAGTCAGATTTCTCTGTGTCACACTACGTAGTTTTGTCTATCTGTATATCTCATTCTTATATTTATATTTGTATATATAACTGAGATTATTTGTGAATTCCCCTTGTTGGTGCAGAAAGTATTTGTAATTCATTGGGTCCGCTTGGATAGATTCTTGTCTGCTGAGGAGGCTTACAACCACGGAATCACACGCTTGGAACAATTGGTGTCTAGAGTAAAAGACATTGATCCGTGAGTAAAAAGTCTATGTGATATCTTATCTTTAAAAATAATTGTCTGACTTAATTTACCCTTGCTAATCTGTAATTTTTATCATCATGTATTAGTCCAAGGCTATCTCCAGGTTTCACAGACCTGCATAATCACAAGTTTGGACTCAATTTAACCAAAAGTAACATGACAAGTGAGGAATATAAGAATGCCGTTGTACAATCAAAAGAGCATATTTTAGCGGGGGATATCTTGCAGATTATCTTAAGTCAACGCTTTGAAAGAAGTACATTTGCTGACCCATTTGAAATCTACAGAACTTTAAGAGCTGTGAATCCTAGTCCATACATGAGTTATTTGCAGGTTTTTCCCCTCTTTGACTATCGCTATCCTTCGCTTAATCAATTAACACAGCTTCTTACTTCATGTCAGGCTAGAGGGTGTATTTTGGTTGCTTCAAGCCCAGAACTTCTTACTTGCAGATTATCTTAAGTCAACGCTTTGAAAGAAGTACATTTGCTGACCCATTTGAAATCTACAGAACTTTAAGAGCTGTGAATCCTAGTCCATACATGAGTTATTTGCAGGTTTTTCCCCTCTTTGACTATCGCTATCCTTCGCTTAATCAATTAACACAGCTTCTTACTTCATGTCAGGCTAGAGGGTGTATTTTGGTTGCTTCAAGCCCAGAACTTCTTACTTGTATCAACAAGGTAAAATAATGGTCCCATTTCTCCTAATTTAACTGGTCGTGTGAGGCTACTTTTAGAATCCACATATCTTCAGTGCTTTGATATCTTCAAGGTCTTCTGTAATTTCCATAGTGCTTATAGGGTTAAATACCAACATAAATTTTCTTTGGCATTCTTCTTAACAGAAAAAGATTGTTAATCGACCCTTGGCTGGAACCATTAAAAGAGGGAAGACGCCTCTTGAGGATGAGATGTTAGAATGTATGATGCTAAAGGATGAAAGGCAATGTGCAAAACACGTTATGCTAGTTGATTTGGGCCGAAATGACGTCAGAAAGGTTTCTCCTTGTCTGTTTTAACACGAAACTATTGCGAGAGAAAAAAATATATATATTATGTGCTAAATTTTGACAGCATGTCACCTATTCATGTTATGTTCCCTGCTATAATTTCCCGTCAATAGTTTCTTCCTAATTTCCTTTTATTGCTATGTCCATAGTATCTTTGAAATTTTAGGTGGGATTGTACTGTCAGCACCTCTTCAAATTCATTTTCTATGAAGTTATTAGAATCATTTCTTTGTTAGTGATTATAGTTATAATTGTACTTTTAAAAATCTCTGCGACCAGTGGCATAGATTTTGACAAACATACTGCATTTCTTTATCAACAATTCATCTAAATACAGAAGAGATTGAAGACAAAGGTCTGTTCCATATCGTCTAGGATCCTACTAGTCTTCTTTCGGGTGGCTGGATTATGTTTTCATGTCAGTAACAGGCTGCAGCCCCGTAGGCTTGAGTACAGATTGAAGACATCACATGCATGTAATATTTTTGTACTGATGTGTAAAAATATGATAAGCAAATAATTGGTACTAATGATGTTTCCAACAAGGGGCAACCCATGTTGGTCTGATATATGTACAAGGTAAATTTACATGCAAGTGACTGCCTCTCTATCTTTGTCCATAGTTACTTTCTTTTCATATAAAAAAAATTATTCAGATATACTTTTTGTGGATTCTTAATGCAGGTCTCCAAATCTGGTTCTGTTAAAGTCGAGAAGCTTATGACTGTTGAGCGATATTCCCACGCGATGCATATCAGCTCTACAGTGAGTATACAAATCAGTTCACCTTTAAATTTAAGCTGTTTTCGTAATTAACTATGACTTTTACTCACAGATCACAGGGGAGTTGCTCGATCATTTAACTTGCTGGGATGCACTGCAAGCTACATTACCAGTTGGAACAGTTAGTGGAGCGCCAAAGGTTTGTTTATTACTCTTCTTTCATTGTTTCCAATTGATTCGACGAAATGCAATTCAGATGTAAGGTCTACAGCTATTGCTTCCATCTCTCATACAGGTGAAGGCCATGGAGCTGATTGATCGATTTGAAGTAACAAGACGAGGACCTTATAGTGGAGGGTTTGGACGAATTTCGTTTACAGGAGATATGGAAATTGCACTGGCACTCGGGACAATGATATTCTCTACTGGAGCCCGTTATGACACAATATATTCGTACAAACATACCAACAAGCGGCAAGAATGGGTTGCTCACATTCAAGCTGGAGCCGGAATTGTGGCTGATAGCGATCCCCATGAGGAGCAGATTGAGTGTCAAAGAAAAGCTGCTGGGCTTGTCCGCACAATTGAGCTGGCTGAATCAGCGTTCGTAAACGAACAGCCAGCAAAGATTAACAATGCATTGCCAGTCCAACCGTCTGTATCACAATGAATCGTCATTTTTTTTAATCTCAATAGCTCCTTTTGACTTCTCAAAAAGTCGTGACATGGTTTAGATGGTTGTTTCTTGTTTGATCAATAATAATATGAATAGACTAATGATAGATAGATTAAATGTATGTCTGGAGAACTATTCATCTACTACTCGTGAAGTGTTCTTCTTCTACAGAGCGTTGATTTTTCTAGACTGCAATAATAAGCAAATCGACATTGTGACAAAAATCTCCGGCAGGGCCATATTATACTGACAAGCACCACACCGTCTAGTAATCCTCGTTAAATGTGGATAAATAACTTCTTCATGCGAGAAAGAGGAACGGTGAAAAAGAAATGGACTTTTACCAGTATAAGTAACTTATAAAGCTAAGGGCGTGCTTTTTCATGACTTTAGGACCTCATTCATCATCGGGAATCAGAAATGCTCATTCCCGCAATAGGAATCAGCATAATGGAATGCAGTGCTAACCTGTCAAGGATTGAATTCCTGTCAAGAATGGTGCATTTTGGAAATGAATTATTGCTTTATGCAGTATTTTGTTACCCCTTCATTGGCAACCTTGCTGCCAAAAATCTCCTATGCACGTTAGGCTGCCCAATGGCTTAATGATTAGCCTCAATGATTAGAAGAAGTTGTTTTGTTTGATCGATTTTCAACCTCTTTATTTTGGGTCATTAGACATAGACAGATTGTAACGTTAATTCTGTAAGTCTGGAGTGGTTGTATTCAAAATTTTGATCAATAAATTTATTTACCCGATCAAGAAAATAAATAAAAACTAAAATCCAATCAATGTATCAGCATAACTTCAAATAATTTTAGCATTATTACTCCTATTCATGAACCATTTTTAAAAGCAAATTTACAGAATCCATAGATTTCATATGATACCGAAATCCCAAGTTATTTCAATTTTGAGCCCGTCGAATCCAGAACCAAACTGAAAAGGAAAAGAAACAGAAAATTAGAGGCATCGATATACATAACACAACCAACTTCCCCATAAAAACAGACCCCTCCAATTGGACGTGTGGTTGAAAAATTATGAATTTCGTGAAATGTGAGGTTCAAATTAATTATTTGATATAGAGTGTAATTAATCTTTCAGTGAAATCAAACATGGTTAATTTTTTTTATTTTTTATTTTTTTTCTGGTTAACTGAAAATAGTCCAACGATCCAAACATTTTGCAACTAGAGGAAATTACATATATTACCCAATTATTATAATAATTCATGTAATACATTAATGAATTAAACAAAAGCACAACAAGATCCCCGTCATCAAATTTTTTTTTTATTGTGTGCAAGACTCCTGAAAGTAATGCTAGTCACTTAAGTTCACTTCTAAAAGACTTCATGTTTCTTGCCCCATGAAAGCGAACATTTAGGACATTATACTATACATGTTTGGAGGTCCGACGAGTGAAGGTGATGTTGAAATTGCAGTGGCAAATGAGGTCGATGGTATTGTAATGACTGTCACTTTGCATCAGCTTTAGAACAAATTGGTAGCAAAAAATAAAAAAATAAAAAAAAATGGAAATTTTGATTGGGAAAGTGAAGATTTGTAGTAGATGTGGTAATTTGTAAAGAAGTTATAGACAAAGTTTGAAGAATTAGAAGGGTAAGAGTTTTGATAAGGACAATATTTGGAATACATAATGGACACCATAATGTTCAAGTGGCACCCCCCTATTGGAGGGGGCGTCGGGTGCCACTTGGGTATTATGGTATCCATTATGTTCAAGTAGAACAATCTTTTTGATAATGGGGAGAGAGGGAGGAAGAGAGAGGGAGAGAGAGAGAGAGAGAGGGGGGGGGGGGAATGCTAGATTTATTATGATTTTTATCAAAAAATAAAAAAAATAAAATTGCCCAAAAGTTTGGGGGTCAAGTGACCCTGATCCCTCCACAAGTGAGATCACGGGAGCTTTTCTCATACCAAATTAATTTGACCAAAATAGTCACTCTATAATTAAGAAAAATTTATAAGATTTTAATAAGAGACGTCATAAAATAGAAATAATATGAGTAACGGAAAATGTCTATACGATATTTTTATTCCAAACTTGAAGTATATAAGTAGATCAAGATGTTATTAAATTTCAGTTTCATTAACCGTATTTAATCAGCTCGATTTGAGTTGTTAATAGGCACACGACTAGATTTTCCTTTTTCACTATAACTTATTTTTGTTGCACCCGATTTTCTAAATGTATTTTTCCTCAAAATCATCATCAATCTCACCCACAACTTTTATCAACTTTTTAATCATATATTTTATCAACTTTTTTCAAAATTTGATTTTTAACCAAGTCAAACGGGGCTTAAATTGTGAGTCCATGGATTGCATGTGAATTTCACCTAGATTTTAGGCACGAAGTTGAGATATTGACTCATCCGAATGTATATGTTTTCCATCATGTAAATCAGATCCATTGCATTCATTGGCATTGATACTCGAGACAGTTGCTACTCAATATGATCTCACTGTTGCACACAGAATTCACAAGGTGATTCAAGACAACGAGAAAGAAATACAATTTACAAATCAGGATTTGATTACTTTATCCAATCGAGACATGAGTGGGGTTGGAGTTCATAAGTCAAGTCGAGTACACATTCTTCTAATCGTTTGTATGTGGTTCTCGATGATGAAGATTTGCATATCAATCAACAGTTTGACACGAAGAGAGATTTGCTAGAAATTGTGCACTGGATTACAATGAAATATAACTTTGAGTTTGAAGTAAAGAAATCAAACAAATCTATTTACAAAATTATTTGTGTGGACAACAATTGCAATTAGCGGTTGAGAGTGACAAAGATAGACATGAATGAGTTCTTTGTAGTTTGCAAGTATATATAATAACATACTTGTGAAGTGTGTATTCGTCAAAATTATCACAGGCAGCTCGATTATAATTTATTGGTCGACATATAATGCACATAAGTTTTGGGATACACAGACGATTTACAGACATCATCAACGACATCCATCGGGAGTGTAGGATGGTCATGAACCACCAGAAGGCTTGGAAGGCTAAACGATTGTACATCGAAAAATTTGATTGTTTAAATCGAAAAGAGTTATGCTAAATTGACTAGTTATTTCTATAACATGTGGAGAACTAATCCTGACTCGACATTTTTTATTGGTACTAACGGGGAGAATCGCTTCAAATATTTTTTTATAGCTCTTAGACAATGAATTTGAGGATTTCGAAATGCCACACGACCTTTAATTATAGTCAGTGGTACCACCCTGAAAGGTATCTTCAATTGCATGTATTCATATTCTTTTTGGCTTAGTAATTTAGATATGTTCTTGTTGTGAATCTTTTTCAGCAATAATGGTATGACATAAAAAACATGGGTAGGTTGGAAGTTAGTAAAAAATGTGAATGAGAAGAATTATTATTTGCCCTCTTCATATATATAATTGAGTTTGTTCTACAAGAAAATCCTATAATTGATATATGTGATTACAGAGTTAAATCCTAACCACTGATCATCACCTTTTAAATTATTGAATAAAGTTTTCATTTTTTTCGTTGTCTTCAATTTGTGTCAAATACATTATAGAACAACTACAATTTTGGCATACAAAGTTATGTGTATAGTTTTTGTATATGCTGAAAATAAAAAATAAATAAGTAAATAAAATAGTGTGAAGATAGATTTTGGTGTGATACATGCAAAGTTAGAGTTATAATTTTGATATATAATTGCTTTGAACCAAAAAAAAAATAAAAATGAAAAGAAGGATAATTAATACATCATTTCCCATTTTTCACGCCGACCTAATCTAAATGTGTAGACAATGTTGCTTATCCCTTCTATCTTTTAAGAATAGAAGAAATTGCAAGTTGCAAAATTTAATTGTCTAAGTAAAAAGTAGAATTATAATTCAGCTCCAATAATATTCCAATATTGGACGAGTCACAACTACAATAAACAACACCAAAATCCCTAGAAAAAAATCATGAAATTTAAATAAAAACTAACCTTACCTCAAATTAGTAACGGACAAAGTTGCTAATTGTGACTACAGAAGAAATAACATCACAGATGAATAAAAGAAACACAAAGCCTTTGTCACCGTTCCCAAAAGTAGAAGAAGCAGCTTCACATTGAAGATCGACCATGATTTCCATGCACCGATGTCGATGCTCCACTAGCAGACATGCGACATATTCTCATCACTCTTTTTCTGCGAGGGTTTCCTTTGGTTGTGTAGAAATCAAAAAGCAGAGGTAAGAGAGTGAGTGAAATGCACTTTATAAAATAGATATTAGTAAACAGTAATGGAACTTGTTAATTAACAGTACTCAAATTGATGAGTGTAACAAGGACAGAAAAATGAACGGTGAACATGCATTACCTCTTTTTATATTAAGTGCAAAGGAATGAAATATATTTCTGATTTCTACATTTTTATATGGAGTCATTGAAAAGCCATGTTAAGGTTATGAGGTTTACTTTCAAAATTTCCTAATTCATCGTCACCTTTAATGCTTTGTGTCACCATACTCATCTCGAGGTTTTTTTTTTTTTTTTTTTTAAACTCTTGTTCACAATTGTGTTTCAATAGAATTCTTCACCTTGCTTTCATATTTATATATATGGATACTAATGGATACTTAAATTGAAATAATTAAAAAAAATTTAATTAAATTGAAATAATTAAAAATAAAAATAAATATTATTTAATTAAAGTTAAAAAATTATGTTTTATCGTAAAACGAAAAGAATTAAAAATAATTTTAAATCGAACAAAAATTATTTATAATATGAAGAAAAAAGAAATTTTAAAACAATTTAAAAAATAATAAAAACAAAATAAATGAAACAAAAGAAAGTTACGAAAATTAAATAAAGAGTATATAAATATTATTTAATTAAAAATGAAAAAAATTAAGGTTTGTCATAAAGAGAAAAGAATTTTAAATCGAAAAAAAAAATTATTTATAATATGAACAAAACAAACTAAAAAAAGAAAATATAAATGAGGAAAAAAAAAAATCTTTGTGTAGCACGGAGATTCACCGTCAATGCATCTTGCGATAATGCAATGAATCAAATGATCGGATTTCACCAAACACTTCAAATCTTCAACAAGTTTTGAAAAATCTACTATTTTGATTCTAAAAAAATACAATAAAT